TTTCATTACTCAGGCTTACCTTCACCTTGCCATGTATCCCAGTCTGGTTTCCAATATGTGACCTTCCTGTCCCAATATCTTGTCTATAACTGTCTTAACTTTCCTGGATTCCACATGTTAAGTGAGATGGCATGCGCTGCTTGTCTGTGCCTCGCTTACTTCACTTAGTGTCTTTAAGGTTCATCCATATTGTGGCAGGTAATAGATCTTTCTTCTCTGTGAAGGCTTGGTAGTATTTGAATATACATACCACATTTTAAAACAAAGTTCATTTGCCAGTGAAGGGGGACTTTGGTTGTTCATTTCGTGAGTAGTATTGTGACTAACACCATAATAAACGTGAGAGTGCAGACATCTCTACAGCATACCAATTTCAATTCCATTGAGTATGTATGCAGAAATGGCATTATTGAATCCTTGAATAATTCAATTCTCAGTTGTTTGAGTTGCCTTTACACTGTTTTCTGAAGTGACTGTGCTACTTTATCATATTGCCAAAAAGAGTCTATAGTTAGTTTATTTCCATGTCTGTGAACTTATTAAAACATCTTTTGGATAATGACCAACCTGTTAAGTAGCTAGTGGATTTTCATTGTGATCTCAATTTTTATTTCTCTGATGTTTTCTTTTGAGTCTGCTCATGTCACTTGCCTATTTTTAATAGGGTTATTGGTGTTCTTGTTATTGAATAGTTTGCTTTCTTTATATATTTAGGATATTAGCCCATTGTATGATGTGTGATTTGCTAATTCTTTATTCCATTGTGTGTGCTGTCCCTTTACTTTGCTGGTTGCTTTCTTCACTGTGCAGAAGCCTTTTGGTTTTATATAATCCCAATTGTCTATTTCATCTTATATTGCTTGTGATGGTGAGAGGTGTGCTAAGCTGTCAATGTACAGATCAAGGTCATGGAGCATTCATGCTGTGTGCGTATCCAGTACTTTTATAGTTCAAGCGTCATCAGTCCGTATTGGGCTCATTCCTGAGTAAGGGGTGAGTTAACTATCTTTGTTCTTCTGAATGTAGATATTCAATGTTTTCAACACTAGTCATTGAAGAGAATTGCCTTTTCTCATTGTAACTTTTTTGGTATTTGTGTGAATAACTTGACCATAAGTTAGTGGATTTATTTCTGGACTGTCTATTCTGGTCTTTTAGTTCATGTGCCATGTTTTAATGCCAATAGCATGCTATTTTTATTACCATAACTTTGCAGAGGATTTTGAAATCCAGCAGTGATACCTCTGAGTTTGTCCTCTTGCTAAAGCTGATTTTGGCTATGGCTGGAATATGTCTTCTAAAATTTGTTCAGAAATTAATGCCCAAATTCACATGCTAATGTGCTTAGGATAGAGTTAATCTGGGGGAGGGGGCAGTTATTAGGATTACTTGTGCTCATGAGGATGAAGGTTACGATGGGAGTATTGTCTGTATGAGAAGAGAGACTATGCCTGGCACACTCCCACTTCTTGCCCATGGTATACCCACTGCCAAACACTATGAAACGGGAAGATCTTTTTACTAGAGCCCACCCTGAACTCTTTGATTATCGCCTCTAGAATCCTGAGGAATAAGTTATATGGTTTATAAATTACCATGTTTTCTATTTAGGAGCAAAGAGTGGACTAAATGTATTTTTGGCTCCATGTAAATTTAAGATTACTTCTCAATTTTATGAAGCATAAATGGTTTTCTTATAAAACATTTATCATCTTTAGTATACAGATCATTTATTTCCTTTCTTAAATTCACAACACACACATACATTAATTTTCGTGTGTGTGTGCGTGTGTGTGTGTGTGTGTGTGTGTGTGTGTGTGTGTGTGTGTGTGCTTCTGGGGACTGAACCCAAGGCCTTTTGCATGCTAACCAAGAATTCTATCACTGAACCATCTCCTCAACCTATTTGTTTGATGCTATTGTGAAAAATATGGCTTTCTAAGTTATGTTTCCAAAGGTCCAACATTAGCATACAGAGATGCTATTAATTTTGGACTCTAAGGAAAAAAAATAGTGCTCTTATCATTTATTCTCTTTTCAGGAATTACCTAATGTATTCATTTTTATAGATATTTAAACGTTCCCTTTCCTCATTTGTCATGATGCTGTCACATTACATGTCAAATTTCATTACAGTAATGAAATCTAAATGGGCCTCACTTAATAAATGTTTTATATATCCAACTATAAAACTTAGGTGGTCTTTTGGAATTTCTTTTTTCCCCTTTTATTAAAAATAGGTTATTTTCTCATACAATATCCTGTTATATTTTCTCCTTCCAGCTCCTTTCCACCTGCCCTTCCATCTGGATCCACTCCCTTTCTGTCTCTCATTAGAAAAAGCAAGAGGAAACTTCTCTGATGATGGCTGAATAAGGCACTGGAGATGCTATTGATTTTTAAAGGTTACTATAATATCACACAAATTTACTGAGTTTATTTCTAAGAGTTTCATCTGGTCATGATGACTCACATCTTTAATCCCAGTTTTGGGGAGGCCACTCTCTGAGTTCAAAGCCAGTCTGGTCTACATGTCAAGTTCCAGGCCAGCCATGGCTGCAGTGGGATCCTTTATCAAAAACAAAATAAAACTAAACAAGCAATCAATCAAGCAAACAAACAATAAAAAATTAATGAGAGATAGATAGCTAGATAGATAGGAAGATAGAAAGATGGTGGATGGAGAGAGAGACGAGAGAGAAATAATGCACTTCTTGCATTATTACTTGAATTCTTCTCATCTCCTATGGGACTAGAATGTCCCATTCTAGATTGCACAGAATGCTGGGAGTAAGCACTCTTGTTCCATTGCTGACCTTAGGTTATAATGTTAGCTGAAAGGGTGTCACATGCAACTTTTCTTCTTTTGAGGAACATTCTTTCTGTGCCAAAGTCATTGAGAGCTTACATCAGGAAAGTAAGTTGACAGAATCTTTTTATATATATCTTGAAGTGATTATATAGCTTTTATGTTGTCAGCTTTCATTATGGCAAATCACATTAACTGATTTGTGTGTGTTGAGGCATCCTTGCACCTAGAGTGCTATTGAAAACAATGACCTTGAAGATTTTGCAACTACGTAATTAGAAATACTGGGCTGCAGTTTTCTTTTCTGGGGATATCACTGGCTTTGGTCAAGTGACATAAGGTTAGAAATATGCCTCCTTCCTTCTTTAGTTTGCAGAAAGAAATTGAGAAGTACAGCTATGATTGTTTATCTTCAAATGATTCAGCTATCAAGCCATATGGTTCTGGGTTTTCTTTAATCAGGTTTTTGCTGAGTGATTCGATGCCCTTTTGCATTATTGGTCTATTCAAATATCCTATTACTTTCTGGTTCAGTCTTAATGTTTCTACAAACATATTATCCTTAGTTGTCTGTTGGCTCATTTTGTTGTTTACAGCAATATCTTAGGAATCTTTGCAGTTGTTTTTAGTTATAAGGTCTCCCCTTTCACTGTCAGTTTAATTACTTTTTAATTTCTATGTAGTATAGCTAATCGTTTTCCAGTTCATCTAACTTTTCCAAAATCTGACTCTGTTGCTCTCTTTGCTATTGCTGTTACTGCACATTCTGTTTGTTTGCTCTGATCTTTACATTTCTATTTACTTTGAAGTTAGATAGCTCCTGCTTTCCTAGTATCCGAGGGTAGTGCTAGATTATTACTTGATTATTTTTCTTCTATTTTAATATAAACATGTTACCATAAATAGCACCCTTACTACTGCTTCAGCTGCAACAGGACTACAGTGGTCCTAGAACACAGAAAACAGATGCAAATGTGCAATGAGTCTGTCTTTCCACTCCAGGATTAAAGTGTGAACCCTCAATAGGACTAAAAGGACACTGGGATTTTTCACAGTTCTATTTGAATAGTGTGGAGTAGGACATAAACTTCACTTGGCTCCATCTTAAACACTAGGAACTAAGTACACGTTCACTATCAGAACAGTCCAGACATCTCCATGGGGCCAGGCTTCCTTATTAGTCTAAAAGCCCCAAGAGAAGCGGGCATATCCAAATCTCTATGGGGTTCTCAGAACGACAGACAACAGTTTGGGCAACCACAAAGAATGGAGGGTTGTCTTAAAACTCTACCTATACATTTTGGTGGGATTTTTCTTTCTTCAGTCATTTGAATTTCATTGGTTAGAAACTAACAAACACTGCAGTCAGCACTGAAGTCCTGATTTTATTTCTATTTCTGACTCTTGACATATTTGGTTCTCCCCATATAGTAGAAAGCTTTAAGGAAAAACAACTGGACTGAGAGTAAGACACTCACTGTACAGATAACTTTGCTGAGTGTTCTAACCCCTCACTGTTCTCCATGGGCCACATCTTGATTGGCTCAGTGTGTTGTGTCAGGAGTATGGTCTTCATGAATGTGTGAAATCCTTTTTTGTTCTGAAAAGTATCTGAAAGACTTGACACTGACAAAGAGAACAGTGGTGGTAAATAAAGCCAAAGAAGGGAGATGGGAAAGCATCATTAACGGAGGAATTATTTCATTACTCCTTTTTACTCAGGTCAGGCCTCTCTAGTCAACCTCTGCCTGGGACTTGCACCTTCCCCTGTGTCCTCATCACTATATAAAATATCTGCTAGGAAACCTGCTAGCTTAAAGTATTTTTCTCCATTCTAATGCTCCTCCTCACTTCACATTTTCTTGATTATCACAGCTGAAGAGAGAAAGCTGCTCTCAGAAGTATGAATTTTACATTATATCCTTGATAACGGCAAGCACAATAAAAAGGTGAAATATAGAAGAGTCAACACTCCAAGTCTGAAGTGCTATTCACACTCACAGGTCTCAGGATCAGACAGCAATCTTTCATCAAGAAAAAAGCCAGTGGCTGACAGTGAGACAGGATTTGAAAAGGGACATAATGTAACACAGAATGGACATTTGTGGAGTGTAACAAAGCAAGATGGAAGAAGGTCCATTAAAAGCTCCCCTAATGTCAAAATCATTGACTTAATGAATTTATGTAGGCATCCATCTAACAGATATTTATTTAATATTTACTGCAGATTTGGTTCTCTCCCTCCCTCCCTCCCTCCTTCCCCCCTCTCTCACACACACCCTAAATCTGTGGCTGATTTGTCACAGATGAAACGAGTACCACCTATATGCACTTTAGCTCAGAGTTTGCAGGCTCCGTAACAGTTGTAGAGGTGAGCACACGAAGCGATGGGTCACAAAGTGTCACAATCAGCCATGAACAAACATCGCTCAGTGCATGGTTTTTCCTTTTTTTTTTTCTTTTTCTTTTTCTGTTTTCTTCAGTCCAGGACCTAAACAAAGGGAATGGTGCTGCCCACATTCCTTTGTCAGCTGACTCTTCTTCTTCAGTTAAACGTCTCTAAAATTACTCATAGGAAAGCTTACAAGTGTGTTTTCTAAGTGAGTTCAAATCTGGTAGAGTCAACAGTAAAGATTAACATTCCTGAGAAGTAAAATAAACATAAGACTCCCTTGCAGAAGACACCAATCCCATTACACCCTGACTCCTCCAGATAAAACCTGTATTAGTCAACTATGTTTTAATATACCTCTTTAAAAATGAGTTTGGGAAGCATATTTCTTCATTTATATTAATTATTTTAGACATACATTCTTAAAATCTAAAAGCTCAAATTTCTAAATTGGTGTTTGTTCCCACAGTAAGAAAAACAGTATTAACAGAAGTAGATATGAAAACAACACAGAAAGCAATCATTAGCTGTGTGGCTGGTTCTCTTGGGTCCTAATCCTATATCCCTAGGTGTTGCTGTAAGTCATATATTGAAAATTATGTAATTATTTGGAACCAACATAACCTCCCATTCTTCTTTGCTGAATCCAAATCCTGAATCATACAGGTGCTATCTCATGTATCTCATAGCAGATACATGCTGGTTGACTTTAATGGCAATGCTTAGCTTGTTATTCCTTTTACTCAGCCGTTAGCACAGATTCTATATGAATTTAGCTGTAAAACAGCATTGGGTATGTCCTAGTACACATCAGCATGGTTACCAGTATGCCCATGTCATCAGTAAGGTACTCTTTGAATGTTTCATTCAGAAGTCATTTAACCAGAAGTGCTGATGTTTTATAGGTAAAATGTCTACTGGTTTCTTCCATAAATTATAGGAGTAGAAAGATTCAACAAATTACTAGGCTGGGAGATAAATACAAAAAAGCTCACATGATTATGTATACTGTCCACCTGTTTGAGCATTTTATCATAAATTGTCCAAGAACATTGAGGGACACCAAAACTTTTACTGCCACTTGTTCTAAATGGTAAAAAATCGATCACCATGCTTGGGCACAAGTTTTTTCTCTAAAGAAACACCAAATATAGTTTTCAGTACATCTTCTATTTCTTCCTCAGTCAGACTCTTAAACTCTACCAGATCTATACTGTCCTTATAATTAAATCTCCTATAGGTCAGGGTGGAGCCAACCAAGCAGTGAACCCCTTCTGGTGTCTGCAAGGAACAAAAAGATTTGCTTGTAAACACAGACGCTGGTGATGTCTGAAGGTAGGTATTCGTGGACTCAAAATCCTCAATGGTACGAGGCTCAAGAGTAAAAGAATAAATTTTTCGATATTTATTCTTCTCAAGGAGGTCTGAGTTAACAAATTCTTTGTTTGGAATGTACTGCTCTCTTCTGATTTGGTCCAAGTACCAGATTCCGTTCTCTTCTGTCAAAATGAAGATGGCAGGCACCTGAGGATGATCCTTCCCTGATGTTAATTCCATAGGCTCCCACATCTGATAGGAACGTCCAAACCCAGCATCGACAATGTAGTCCTTGTCGCCAATGGTCACCTGTACTAGCAGGTGAATCATACCACTGCTGTACTTATTGGCTGCAGTGTTAAAGACATATCCTCCCAACATTGTGGTTTCAAAGCCCATTTTGGTCAGTGCCCAGTACAGCAGATGATTGACCTGGAGACACCAACCACCCCGCTTCTTCCTCACAATTTGATCAAAGATGGTGTCTAAGTTCAGCTCCATAGATTCCCCACAATGGATGTTCAAGTTCTCAAAAGGAATGGCTCGTATCTGGTGCTGAAGGATTGCAGTTAATGTCTTCAAGTCTAGTTTATTCCTGGAGTTCTGATAACCAATTCTTTCAAAGTATGCTTCAATGTCCATGGTTTCCTAAAGCAAGGAAAACAACCCAAAACAAACATTATCAGTTTTGCTTGTGGATTTACCACAATGGGATAGCTACAGTTAAAACTCATTTCAAAATACAAATGCAGACAATGCTTACAACTATCTATGCTTATTTTACTCCTATCATATGGACTGGCTACAATCAATGTTCATAACACTTAATCAAGCGTTAAACAATCTCAGTGACCGAGGATGAACATTTTCTCATTTGTTTGAAATACAGGTCAAATGGTGATCCAGATAATAAATTGTTTAGATGTAGGATGCCCTGCCCTCTTCCCTGTGCACACTCAGTAGAAGTACAAAGTGAAAAGGCAGCCAAGGACAAATAACAAAGAGATTCCAGTCAGAATCCATTAAAATAGGCTTCCAAACAGTTCTTATAGAATCAGAAGTACACAATACAGAACCAGGTGTACCGCTCATTTAGAGAAGCATTACATATCTCACAGTGGGAGAGAACAAACTGAATTTAGTTTGATATCCCCAGACCCTGTTTGACTCTTTACTCAGTGTCTGTACTGAGTCTGTGGGGAAGATAGCAGAATGAGGGTGGTTTATATCTATCTAACCACCTGAATGTTGCTTCCCCAGGATTCGGTAAGAAGCGTGAAACAATATTGATAAATAGAGGATAGGACTGGAAAAAATACTTGGAAACAAATTACAGGCTTTACAGTGAAATGACAGAAATACTGGTATAAGCAATGGTCAGTGTTTTGTTTGTTTGTTTGAGGATTAAGTTTTGAGCTGGAATTTGGATTTGGTAACTGTAGATTAGTTACAATTGAGTCAGTTTTGCTAGGGGCTCAATATTAGCTATATGTTGTAAGAAAATCATACCAAGGTAGTCTGTGACTAAATGTATTTCAATGGCATATTGATACTGCTGTGGTTCAAGGTAAAATTCTGTGGATGCTTAGAGAATAGTTGGCAGGAAAGGACATTTATGTGAAAATACTATTAGATTCACATAAAGGCTTGCAGAGACTCTATGCAAGGATGGACCCTCCCTTCAGCCTTATCATCAACAGACTTAGATAAGGCTGGTGAACATACTTAGATCCTTTGAGATTTCTTAGAGAGTACATTTATGTGTGCCTAAGTTCAAAGTAGGTTGTTGGCTTTAATTCAAAAGCATTAGAATGTTTCTCCTTTGTGGTAAAAACTCTAGAAAGGAAAGTTTAAAAATGAAACATAACATGGGCTAGAAGGATACCTTGGAGAGAGTAGAGCACTTGACCCCAAGCTTGACTACCTAAATTTGATGCCCATAACCTGAAAAAGTGGAAGGAGAAAACTATCTCCTACAGATTTTCCCGACTGCCCCACACCTGTCATGGCATATACATCCCAAATCAATGTAAAATGCTAAATATGACATTACTTTTCTTAAAGGTAAAATGATAGTTATCTGTACCATAAATTATGAGGAATAACAGATCATTACAAACACAGAGGCTCCACTGAAAAGGGAACATCTAATGATGTAGGGAAGTCTATAGAAAGGATGATGTTGAGGAATGGTAGCACCACGGTAGGTTCTATGCCCGGGACTTCCAGAAGCACCTGTGTGTTCTCATAAGTACTGGGCCCAGAAGCAACTATGCAGATCATGAGTTGCCATAGGAACACCAAGGAGAGATGAACCATGTTCTGCATCCTCAGTTGCTACCTAGATATCAACTGCACAGGGAAAGTGGTGTGTGCGCGGCCTTCCTTGAGGTAATGACTACAGCAGGGGACTTAGGGCAGGTAAAGAAAGTGACAGTCTTAATGTGGATGTCATCAGAGAAGGAGACGGACAACTTCTGTGTGAAAGACATGTCACCAGAGAATCTCCTGTCACATTCAAGCTTCTCACTTCTTCCAAAGTGATAAGGTCCATGCCCCATAGTTCCAGGTGGACACTGCGCCAGTCAAACTGGATTCAAGGAAGAAATTAAGGGTAGAGACAATGCTACACATACATGATTATAAAGTGAAAACAATGTATACAAACATGCCAGGAGACGGCACTGGGAGACAGGCTGTGACATGCATGTCAAAAAGAACTAAAGGGGAAAAAAATACTGGAAGCTCTTCTCAGGAACTTGGCAGCACAGAGTGTATAAAATGATCACAAGGAGGTGGCAGTTAGGGCGACTGAACAATGTGCTTTACACAATGAAAGAGTTCAGACTTAGAAACTAATTAAGGACATAAAGCAAGACATTCCATTAATTATGACGAACAGTTCGCTATAGATAGAACACAAGAACACATTAGGTGCGTAAAACAAGAGCTTGATGGTCACGATCAAGGATAATGGAAAGATAAAGCTATGTCAAAGGCAGTTAAATGCTGACAGACACAGAAAGCAACCAAAGTTTCTAAAATAGGAAGTGCAACATTTGAATAGAAAACATTTAAGATGCAAGATATGTTTGTGTGTGTGTATAAAAATTTTGCAGAAATAGTATCAGATAAACAAGAGAGATGACATTCCAGGAATGTTGAATTCTATGTGCACGACATGTGAATATATGTATTTAAATTATTGAAATCTAAAATTAAGAGCTATTCAAGCATCTGGCAGAGAAATAAATAGTTCTTCATACGTAAGATAATATCAGCATATCAATAGAAGGTTCCACAGAAACACGCAAAGGTAAAACAATGGAACCATGTCTATAAAGTACTGAAGGGATACACTATCTTTGTTATTCTGCTAACATTTCTATGAATTAGAATTAGAATATCAACAGGCATGCAAAGACAATCTCAAATGTGAGAGAACTTTGAGCTATCCTGATGAAGTGCTTTTTCTTTACCAGCCAGTGGAGAAATAAATGAAAAGGAAAGCCAAGAAATAAGGAGGGCAGCATGATGAGATTTTGTAAGCACTGGCCCCTTTTCATACAGGGAAAAAAATAGAGAAAATGCATACACTATGGCTTCTGAGCAGGCCACTTTGAAGACTGAGAGCTGCCCAGAACTAGGAAGACCTGATGGATCATTAAAAAGTCAACACAGGAACATCTGCTTTTGCAATAGCTGATGCGAGCTGACAATATTCATGTGTTAGACAGCAGACCTTAACCTGTTCAGTGTTCCAGTGGGGCTGTGGCCAGTGAAAACTTTTCTAATACTCTTCCTGACAAAAACATAGACTGTCTTTTGTCAGCCAAGGTAGAAATTCCTCAGAGACTGTAGCAACTTCAGATAGGCAAAGTCTCTGACTTTTATTTAATGTTCATCTTGTGAACTGCAAACACTGGAGTCATCCAGTCCAAAGTCCAATTAAATCTCTGTAATAATTACAGTGACATTTTCCGCTGCTCATAATTAAAAAGTAACACGTTAAGAAAAAGCAAAACCAAACTAACCAAACAAACAAAAAAATGAAACAACAACAACAACAAAACACCTGAAAGAGGACAGCTCCATTTTGGATCACAGTTTCAGAGGCATCAGTCTATGTTGAGCTGTTTTCACTGCTGTGGATCTGTGTTGGGACAGAAGTATTATGATGGCAGGCATAGCAAGGTAAACATCCTCCCCTCATAGTGACAAAAAAGTAGAGACAAAGAGGAAGGAGCCAGTGACAAGCTGTATCCTTGAATGGCACCTGCTCTAACTAGCAGGAGTCTAAGAGTCTCTAAGAGTCCACTCTGCTGTGAACTCAACCCATTGATGCAGTGAGCACCCTCCCAACTAAACCAAATAGCACCAGCAGCTAGGGATCAGTCTTTAACACCCGAGCTGTTCGTGGGATATTTTGTATTCAAACCCTAAGAAGAAATTAAACCCTAATATAAATAATGTTTTGACATATGAGGTGGAAATGTATGTGGTAAGCAATAAAATAAGCAAATAAGCAAAGCCCAGGATTCAGCCCTTACCTAAAAGGGCAAAAATGTACTTAAGAAAATACACCATGGGGCTGGTGAGATGGCTCAGTGGGTAAAGGCACTTGCTGAAAGTGAGAGACAAATTAATGATAATAAAAACAAAGTTTAAAGCACACCAGGAAGCCCCTTACACATCCTTCTCTCTAGCATGTGCACTGAAGAACAGAGAACATGGCATGCTTGTGCATCCAAAGAGGGCACAGGACCTTGGAGAGGATTCACGACCAAGGTGAGCTTGTGAGGATCCTGTCAGTAATTCACTTAGATCTGTAGTCTTTTCATCATTTCCTCCACACCTGTGGCATGGGTTACATTCTTATATAGAAGGCCTTGCACCCCTTAGGCTATATGGAGGACTCCCAAACAGCTTCTGGGGGTCCCTTGCTTCTTTTCATAAAGGCTACATAAATAAGTGTCTGGTAAGTGTCCTGTCGGCACAGCTCTGGAGCAAGGATTCATTGGCACAAGGTTGCGAAAGCACAGCTTCCTTGCTTTTGTGTGGACAAACTTTTGATTTGAAATCTATACAGGCAGAGATGTATTCCCCCAGCACTTCCTTAGTTCAACTGGACATGTAACTTTGACCCAGCATCTGGTTTGGGAGAATATTCATTTAATAACTTCAAGTTCATTCCATAGAACCGTGTATAAGTAGATTAAAACACACAAAGTAAGGGACTTCTAGTACCCCATAATAATCTCACTGCTTTCTGCAGATTGCCAAACATTTATTTATTCAAATGATCAATGTGCAATAATTATGCTAGCTGCAGTCATTTGTCCCCAAATGACATGGCATACCAATCACTGATTGTCATTTTTGGATATACTCCCCTCCACCCCCCAAAAAAGAACGGGTTGCTGTGTAGAATTTTTCCTGTTTATGTCTTTAGGACCTCTGCATCATTCATGTAAAACAGATTTTCATTTGTTTTAGGACAAATTCCATTTGTCCTCAAAATTCCAATGGAATTTTGAGCAAGAGGACAACATAAAATAATAATAATAGTAATAATAGTAATAATAATAATAATAATAATAATAATAATAAAAACACCAGAGAGGTGAATCCAGAAGGAGAATGGCTGTGACACAGGCATCCATCAGGCTAGAAGCAGCCTACCCCTTTGAGGGGCCGCTATATTGATTGCAAGGATTACTAGCAACAGTCAGTGATGGCCTACAATGAGAACTAATGAACTGCTTGTAATTTTGTATACCCCCCCATTTCCTTTTCTTTTCCCTTTCATTTTTGCTTCTAAAGTCCACAACATCAAACTCTGTTGACAACCCCAAGCAATCGCTTTGATTAATTGCGTAGAAGACACTAACTAGACTTGTTGGCCTGGCCATAATGTTAAGGGCACTAACAAATGCCCTTGGTTTACAGAAAACCTCCATGGCAGGCATGTCTTCCGGTGAAGGCCTCCAGCAGCCAGGCAAAGGCAGGGGATCGTCCTAGGGAAACAACCACAAAGGGCAAGAGAAATAGGGGCCACGGGTGAAAATTGCGAGACCACAACATTAGTTTTTGGAAGGTAGCTAAAAAATAGATAAAATAAAGTTAAGCAAAATAAAATAAAATGCTGGAAGTTAATTTGTTTTGTCTTTTTCTTCATTTGTTTGTATGTTTGTTTGCTTTTGAAAAGACAGGGTGGAGTCAGTTTCCTTGAGTCTGAGGCAGTCAAAGAGGAGCTGGAGAAAGGGAAGAACTTTTTTTTTTTAAATTTTTATTAATTACACTTTATTCGCTTTGTATAGGGAAGAACTTTTATTGTAAAAGAGTAAAGCAATGTTGTTGACATCGAGCCCATAGTACAGAACACAGTTCTGAGCAAGAGGGTCCAGGGTCCGCTACCTCCTGAGACTCTTGGTCTAAACTGTTTAACTGGGCTGTTTAATTGAGGTAACGTCTCAGTCTGGGTTCACAGGAAGTAGTTAATTTCCTGCTGTTACTGACAGCTCATAAAGACCCTCCGGACTAACCCTTCTTGAAGCATGACAAAAGTCCCTCCATGAATTCCTCCAGGCATGCAGTGGGCAGTGTAAGTATCCAGGAGGGAATCCAACTGAACGTTTTCTACGCTGTTAATTCACCTCCTTAATTCTCACAAACCCTTTAAGGAAGCTTGTTCGTTTGTGACTGATAAGGAAAGAGTACTATTAAAGAAGATAAATGACTAGAAGTCTCTCTGGTAGAGCACCGTGTGGGCTGTCACCACTAGCACAAAACATTTGTTAGAATCCCCTGAGTACTATCAAGTATTTGTTCCATGGGTTCCAAGTATGTGCCGCCCAAACTTTCTAAACAACCTTAGGGCTGGGGATTCGGGGCTGGCTTGTGCTGCTCTCCTGGTCTTCCTCCTGAGAGAAGAGGAAACCCCCATTTCCCAGTCTACCATGGAGGACACACTTACCCAGCTACCAGGGCTGCGACCAGACCAGGAAGACCTGAAAGTGGGCTGAAGGAGTTCGGCTCCAGATGTCTGCCAAGGAAGTGCTTTTATTGGCTGTCCAAGTTGCTCCGCCCCCTGTGCCTGGTTAAAAACCAACCCAAGGCTCTCTGGGAAATGTAGTCGTAGGGACTCACTTGCCTCTGGTGAACTCCTTCTCAAGCCCTTTCATTGAAAAAGTATTAAGGTATTTTATGAAGAGCCTTTGTGTTTCAGAGTTTATGCTTTCTGGGACCCGTGGACGGTCAGAGCTTGAAAAGGACTCAGGCAAAGGACATAAAGGAGGAAGACGTTACCACATTTCATTCACACGCCCAGTTTATGACTCTCCTTCCATCAGCTTGTTTGCCTTTTACTTTCTTTCACCTCTCATCTTCAGGCCCTTCAAGGCACTGTGGAATGTGTATGGCTGTGCCCCTACACCTGTGTTTCAAACACAACAAGTGCTGTATGGTTGTATTTCTGCTGTTCACTATATTTTTAGAAACTCTTCATGGTAAACTCAGTCCGTTGTGTTATATATCTTATATTCTGGGTAGTCAGAATAGATTCCTAAATTTTTGCTTGGTGGCGGTGGCCGGTGGTGGGTGGCTCAGGTGAGGAGGGGTGAGTTATAGGATCCTTACCTCTGCTTTCTGGGTGCTTAGTCGGGTCACTCTGACGCGTGCGCAGTAATACCTCCTGTGTGGTTCTGAGGGATTTTGCTTCCTTTATTGGCAACAACCATTTGTTGACAAGCTGCTTGTATATTTTTATACCTGTACCAACATTTCCCAATTCTTATATTGCTACAGACAACCAAAACCAAAACAATAAAAACCAGCTACACTGTGGTGGATGCCTGCAACCCTAGCACTTGGTAAGTGAAGGAAGTACGATCAAGAACTCAAGGTCATCCTGAGCTACACAGCAAGCTTAAGGCCAGCTTGGGCTACATGAGACCATTCCCCCAAATGCAAAACAAAACAAACCACCGCTGTGGCAATGTAACCTACATCTTTGGTAGTAACTCATCCCTTGCTTTCTTTTTAACCTTAATATGCTTTTCACCATATTGAAGACTGAGAAGAACACTGGACTTTCCAGTTTGAACCGGAGCCCTAACATTGGGATCTGCATGGAGAAGGGTACTCAAGAGGCCTCTGGGCTGTATTATTGGGGAATTAGAAGAGTTATTAACAGCATGGCCATATAGACAGAGGGACAACAGTAGGCAGGGCTGCCAAATAGAGTTCAGGCCTCAGCTCCACAGACAGCATGGCAGGGTCACTGAAGAGAACATGAGCCCATTTGAGGATGGGGAAAGTTCACAGCAAGAGCCTGCAGCCAGACTCTCTGATTGCCAAGCAGGAGTCTAGGAAGGGAGTGGGGAGCAGGCGGTAGGACAGCAAAAGTGCCAAAGCCAACGCCCCCCTTGAGGTTACCTGGTACTGGGATTGCCTGTTACCTAGGGACTCACAGAAGGTACGGCACCTGCCAATCAGTATCCATGACAATGGAGAGAAGGCTGCTGCAAGTTCTGTGGCCTGAACAGAGGCTGGATTCTAATGTGACACTCTTAGAGAATCCAGTCAGAAAGCATGAAGTAGAAAGAAGTTAAAGATTAGGATTCTGGGGCACAAGCCATCCACCCACATCCCTGGCATCTGTTCTCATCAGCCATGCAGTCGGCAGCTGACAATGTGAACGGGATTTTAAGCAGGAGTGAGGCAAAGAAAGAGAGACTTAGAAGTGATTGCCAATATTATTTATTCATCCCTGAGCAAAATACATTTGTGTGTGGTACTGCTGTAAATCAAATTCTGGGCTTCCAGCATACTAGGTCAGCAGCCTAATACGGGTAACTACTCCGGTAGCCTATATCTGTGGTCTTTATCTCTGGTACTACATATATATGTATATATGTATATATATATATATATATATATATATATATATATATATATATGTATATGTATATAAAATCAGATCGACAAATTTACTCAGGGTTTGAACTCCAAGGTCTGCTAAGAACCATGTTTGTTGCTTGCTAAATAACGTGTAGTATGAAGTAGAATAGAGCAGGGTTATTAAACTAGGATGTGAAAGAAACACATCTTAGGGACAACACCAACCCTTATCATATCCCAATACCTTCAAGAAATATTTGATTCATATTATATTAGCCAATACTATTTTAATATATTTTACATTTATTATACTTCATAAACAGTGTTTTTCCAAGTTACATATATTTTATTAATTTTATAAATATTATCACATGAGGTATATAAGTCACATAATTCTACAGATCAGTATTCCCATATTTTTAAAAAAATCAAATACAAAATCAAAGAACGTATCTAAAAGAATCAAAGAACTGTATCTGAAAAATTAAGCCTGGAGGAAATTCTAAGCCTTCTCACTGTCTTGGCACATACACACAGAGCCCTAAGCTTGGGCTTGAGTTTTGTCTTGAGGCCTGGGAGGTTACCGGGAACAGAAACGATGGCTCATTCTTGTCTCCTTTTTAAATTTATTTTTATTTATTTTTTATTTTATTTTATTTTATTTTTTTGGTTCTAAGTTGTGAAGGTGGCTTCCTGTAAACCTTGGATATCAGATTTACTCTGGCTGAATTTAATGCCTGCAATTCTCTGATTATTCATATTCAATCACTAGTGTAAGTTTTATGTGAGTTCAACAATAAAATAATGTTGGGAGGTTTTCTATTACAAATGAATAAGGCTTCATTAAGAAATTTTTGTATGATTAATCTTTAAAGGATTATGGTTATGTGCATTAAATTTTTTTAATTGTAATGTGATATTTTCTTCATGTAATGACAGAACAACTTGTATTTCTTCTTTATAAAATGAAGGAAATAGAAGATACAAGCATCAATATTGAGTTGGGTGATTTCTGTTATGGATACATTTGCATATGTTTCAAATGTTCAGGAACATGAAATAATAATAATAAAAAAAACAATTTTGTTCCTTACCTAAATAGTAAAAGATAGTTTACCATGTTTGGGCACAAACTTTCTCTCCAAAGAAATGCCAAATATAGTTTTCAGTACATCTTCCATTTCATCCTTGTTCACCTTCTTAAACTCGACCAGATCTACGTTGTCCTTGTAACTGAATTTCCTACTCATAAAGGTGAAGCCTACTAAACAGTAAACCCCTTCTGATGTCTGCAAGGAACAAACTGATGAGCTTACAAATGCAGAGGTTGGTGATGTCTGAAGGTAGGTATTCACATGTACAAAATCCTCAATAGTGCGGGGTTCAAGAGTAAAGGAATAGATTTTTCGATATTTGTTCTTGTCAAGGAGGTCTGAGTTAACAAATTCTTCATCTGGAATGTACTGCTCTCTTCTGATTTGGTCCAAGTACCAGGTTCCATTCTCTTCTGTCAAACGGAAGATGGCAGGAACCTGAGGCTGATCCTTTCCTGATGTTAATTCCAGAGGCTTCCATATCTGGTAGGAGCATCCACAGGCAGAATCCACAATGTAGTTCCTGTCACTGATGGTCACCTGTACCAGAAGGTGGACCATTTCACTGCTGTATTTGCTGGTTGGAGTTATGTAAAAGTATCCTCCCAACATTGTGGTTTCAAAGCCCATTTTGGTCAGAGCCCAGTACAGCAGATGGTTAATCTGGAGACACCACCCGCCCCGCTTCTTCCTTACTATCTGGTCAAAAATGGCCTCTAAGCCAATATCCATGGCTTCTCCACAATGCATGTTAAGATTCTCAAAAGGAACAGCATGTATCTGGTGCTGAAGAATTTCAGTTAATGTGTCCAAATCCAATTTATCCACTGAGTTCTTATAACCAATCCTTTCAAAGTATGCTTCAATGTCCATGGTCCCCTAAGGCAAACAAAAAGAAACCAAGCAAGCATTATGACAGTTCCTGGTGGGAATCCTGGAATCAGCTAACTGGAGCTAGAATGTGCAGTCAACATACAGATATAAACAATGCTCACAAATGTCTCGCCAACAGTCATATTGCTTCTGCTGAAAGACCTGCTTTTACTTGTGGTTCAGTAAACATTGTTAGTGACCCTTAAAGAAAAGTTTTGATATTTCTTGTATTTTTCAAGTTTCTAAAGTTAGAAAATAAGACTAAATGACCAGTCAAAAGACTAACTGCTTAGATGTGGTTTCCTTGGTGATAAGTGGAAGATATTGCCAAAACAAACTTCCAAATATTTATTCATGAAAATGGGAGACTTGCGCATAATGGTCATTCTGAGTTACCCATTTCATCACCCCATTTAACTGAATATTATACAAAGCTCCCTACTAGAAAATTTACATTGATTGACCCGTTCATTCCTTCATTGAACAAAGGGTCTAATGGATACCCTCTAAATATTTGTTGAACTAGTGTTTCCTTGCCCTCCAAAATTTTGCATTTTTATGGGCATTAAAATAATACACAAAGTGAACTAAGTAAATTAAAAACAACAACCCAAAGTGATGTGGTAGCTGTTCACAGGATAACTAAAATAAGGAAAGAGGTACAGGGAGAGTTTTGATGTGAAATGATACGGGTGAAGAAAGACTCATTCGCATTTGAGGAGGCTGGACAATGAGCCCCATGGCTATGTATGAGGACTGTGGGTCCTAGCAGAAAGAACAGAGAGAAATTCTTCAATCAATATTCTAGGAAATGAGCGTCCTGGGGCAGACTGGGTGAGAAGGGCAGACTGAGATGAGCACTCACTGTTAACAGTGACACTGAGATTTGCTGAAAATGAGATGTGCAACGTAAATGATAGAAGGCTTAGAGGAGTGTTATATTGTGACAATATCTGCTGTGGTCACATTCAGTTTTCTGGCTCACCCATGGATGATGGGTTGTCTGTAAATCACTGTCAATGATCCAATGCAGTTGGTAGCACCCATTCAAAACAACTACACCCCAGGACCAACGCTTGAGGCATGGCATGTGTGTGCTTCAAATGCATCAGTGAGATAGTATTGAGAGACTTATGTTCTGCAGCAGAGCCAAATATATTGACATGGGGGAAAAAACAGCATTAACAAAGAAATATGAAAGGGAAGGTGAAGAAATTAGTGCTAATGCTATTAGCTGTCAGATAATATGAATTCTACTCCCTAAAATCACTGTAATCACTCAGAGCCTTAGTTAACTGAGCCATGACAGAACGATTCCAGCTATGTCAAGAGAACACAAACCTTGAGGTGAACCCCCTTACAATGTAGAGAAATGACACTATACATAGGGCCTGACCCTCAGGTTGACGGTGATAACCTATATATTTATCCTTCACTCCTCACAGCATTTTCTTTTTTATACAAATATCTTCCCCATATTGTCAGGGTTTTCCACTTTCTTCATTAGTTATGTCTGCCATATTTCCCCTATATCATAAGTTCTGTTATACCATCACCCTTCTTTGGCATTTAGACAACCTCTAAAATCTATTATTCAGTCCTAGAAAGAACAAATGGTATTTGTCAGAACATCTTAAACTCTCCCTGGCCCCTATCCCGGAATCTGTACTCAGTATGTCAGGAAAAGAGAGGAAGATTAAACCAACTGAAAAAAAAGGCATTTAATCAGCATGCTATTAGGGAATTATATTTCTTTTTAAATGCTATATTTATATTTAAGTTTTTTATCATCTCTATCCCTGTCTGGCCCCCTCCTTTCCATTTCCCTCTTTCTTCATGCATTTTATTTTTCATTAATAAAAGTCTTCTTTAAGATAAAATGCCAAAATGTATTAATTGAAGATCCATCAGAATGTAATCAGCTTTTGCTAGAGACTTCAATACTAGTTACATCTTGTAATCAATCCATACTTTGGATAGCCTGTGCCTAACCATATTTTAATTTTATATTATTGAAGCTGAGATTTAAGATGAATAATGAAAACACGTGGGGTAGTTGCCAAGAAGCTCAGAAGTGAAACACTAATGGCTCCTCAAGTTGACTTGCTGTGTCTCTGAGAAGCAATAGACTCCTTTCTTTCCACTTCATCAACACAAGAAGAAGAAAAGGAGATAGAACAAACACATAAAGGAGCCTACTGAGAACTATCAGGCTTTTCATACCTGTGGCAGCAAGTTTAATGTAGGCTGATTGTAGGGTTTAATTCAGATGTTTTAGGATATTTTGTCTTCTTCGTGAAAACTGTAGAAATAATAAAAATAACTTCAAATACAAACATGACATTTTTCCCCTTTTTAAAACATTATCTTTTTTTATGTGTGTCTGTGTGTGCCTGCATGAGGTTATATGCACCACATGGATACAGGTGGCCACAGAAACCAGAAGAGGACATCAGATCTCCTAGAATTGGAGTTACAGACAGCCAGGATCTCTGCAAAAGCACTAAGCGCTATGGACTGCTGAGCCATTTTTATCTAGCTCCAATGCAGCTTTTCTTAAAAACAAAATGGTAGTTTTATGGGGAACATAGCTGTTAAAAAACATCCCTACATATTTTGAACAGCGGGAGCTGACAAAATAGTAAAGTGAATGAGGGCGTTTATTAACAGGCTTATTATGGGCTGGTAGCACTGTGGCAGATTCTACATTATGAATTCTAGAAGTCATGAGTCCTCTAGAGCCAAGAAGATGACTAATTGCCACGGGCAGCGAGGATGAACACCCGAACAAGAGTGCAGTGTCTGCATCTGATCTTCCTGTAGGAGACGACTGCATCTGGACTAGACTGGAGAAGGAAAACAAAGCAAGACATCAGTAGCAGTGGGGAAGAGAATAACCACTTACACAGAGAATCTCCATTAACAAGTCTCTTGTCAAATTCATTGTCTTTCCCTTCCTCTGGAAAGACTGAGGACTCCAACCCTAACAGCAGGCAGGTATCATACCAGTCAGCGCAGATTTGAGAAACAAATAAATGTAGAGATAAAGCTACGAGTGCATGACTATAATGAAAATACATTATGCAATTGGGAGAAAAAACACAAGACATACATGCAAAAAATTCCATACCCAGAAAGACAGTCATTAGAACCATTAGAAGAAGAAACAGAACAATAGAAAGAACTTCCTCACAGGCATTTAGCTCTTAATAACCAAGAGCTAAAAATAACCTGATATAACAATGTGTTTGGGGGCGAGGAGACAGTTCAGTCTATAACATGCCTACCACACACATGGGGACCTGAGTGTAAATCCATAGCAATAGGCATGCATCTATAACACCAATAATGGAGTGGGATGGCGTAGGGACTGGAGATAGATGGATTTGGGGAGTCCACTGGCCAGTCAGCCTGACCAAATCAATGACCTCCAGATATAGTGAGAGAGCTTACCTCAAAGGTAAAGGTTGACAGTGATTGAAGAAGACATCTGAGGTCAATCTCTGGTTTCTCAAGCACAAAAGTGTAGTGGAAGTTTTGGTATCTTTAAAAACACAGTTATGTTATGTAAACATGTTTTTGTTATAATCCCAGGTGTGGGATATGGGGTTGCTACAGGTTGTCCACAGCAGCAGACTATTGCCTCATGCAGGCTCTGAGAAGGGCGTGATCTTTGCCAACTGCAGATTGTTTAATTCTGAGGACTCTGGAGAGGAATAAATGCCAGAGCCAGGAGAGAGAAGGGGGGCTCTGCTCCTGGTTGCTGTTGATGCAGTTTGATGAGATGAAGTTGAAGATATCCTGAACTTTCCCCAAGGAACCAGCATGGAGAGAACTATGCCTCTTCTCCCCACTAACCTTCTTTCTCTCCTACTTGGTGTTGGGGTGTTGAAAGGAATTGGGGTGGAGAAAGAGGTAGAGGTATAAAAACACCCAATAAAATAGTTAAAGTCACCTATACAAAGCATTCATCCTAATGAACACATACTTAAGAAAGAGCGAGAGTTAATTTTGTTTTGTAATTTGGCCTTCTCCACCCATAGCTAAATGGCCCTGTTGCTTGGAGTCTGTGGTGGCACAGTGCAACATGGCAAGATTGTGCCATGCAAAAAGCTACTTAAATTGCTCGATCTGGGAAGCAAAGAAAGAGACAGGAAGGGACCAGCCTCTTCAAACCTTCTTTAAGAGTGTACCCCCAATGGTCTGAAAGCCCGTGACTTCCAAATCACCCCATGAACTGGAATAAATGTCCCTATTCAGACGATGGTGTCCTTCCCTCGGTCGGCCTCATGGACTTGTTCCTCTTGAAATGCAAATTTTATTTACTCCATATCCAAGAACCATAAAGTTTAATTGTGCAGTATCACTCAATTGTCCAGGTAAGAATTTTTCTCTGATACTAAAGGCAGGCCCAGCTGAGCCCCTCTGTGCAAACTTAAGATGAGTTATATGTTGCTGATAAACAATGTCCCAGGGTTAGCAGCCTCATTTCAAAAGAAAGAGTAGAAGGCAATAATAAGGAACAATGAAACCAAAGACAGGGCAAATTCCAGTAGGGCAAAGAGTAAGCCCTACGTTTAAGAGCCAATCACACAAGTGTCACCATTCAGAGCTGAGAGTCCTGGGAAGGAAATCAGGCTTTACTAAGATACACTGGCCTGAACAGGAGGGTGTCAGTTTCGCACTACAATGGTCATCTGAGTCAAACCGTTCTGTGATTACCAATGAGCTTCCTCTTAGGCTTTATCCAATAATTCTTAAGATCAACAGATTATTTCCATGCATGTTAAACATTGCGCTTCCTTTTGATAAGAGGACAGAAAGAGCACATTCTGGTAGCACAAAGGTTTCCACACTGGTGATATGCAAAGAACACAAGACGAACCAGAGGGGTTGAAAACTAAAGAAACACCACTGGTCGAGGTACCATGGCCAGTGTTTACGCCTCCTGGGGCAGTTTCCTTGCAGTAGTTGATTTGATCACTTTTTAAAAATTTTTTTATTAATTACACTTTATTCATTTTGTATCCCCCCATAAGCCCCTCCCTCCTCCCCTGCCCACCCTAACCTCCCTTCCCTTTCTGCATGCATGCCCCTCCCCCAGTCCACTGATAGGGGAGGTTCTCCTCTCCTTCTTTCTGATCTTAGTCTATCAGTTCTCATCAAAAGTGGCTGCATTGTCCTCTTCTGTGGCCTGGTAAGGCTGCTCCCCCCTCAGGGGGAGGTGATCAAAAAGCAGGACAATCAGATTATGTCAGAGGCAGTCCCTCTTCCCATTACTATGTAACCCACTTGGTGAACTGCCATGGGCTATATCTGTGCAGGGGTTCTAGGTTATCTCCATGAATAGTCCTTGGTTGGAGTATGAGTCTCTGGGAAGTTTCCTGTGTTCAAATTTTCTTGTTCTGTTACTCTCCTTGTGGAGTTCCTGAGCAATGAAAAATAAGGAAATCATGAAATTTGCAGGTAAATGGTGGGACCTGGAAAGGATCATCCTGAGTGAGTTGTCCCAGAAGCAAAAAGACACACACGGTATATACTCACTCATATAGACATACAACATAGGACAAACCCACTAAAATCTGTGCATCTAAAGAAACTAAGCAAGAGAGAGGACCCTGACTAAAACGCTCAATTCCCATCCTGAAAGGCAAAGAGGATGGACATCAGAAGAAGAAGAAAACAGGAAACAAACTAGGAACCTGCCACGGAGGGCCTCTGAAAGCCTCTGCCCTGCAGACTATCAAAGCAGATGCTGAGCCTGATGGCCAACTGTCGGGCAGAGTGAATGGAATTTTATGAAAGAAGTGGGAAATAGTAAGAGCTGGAGAGATTTGATCACTTTTTAAAGTTACTTTAAGGAGGCCTTTTCAATAGAAAAGCTACATAGTGAATCATGAATACTACTTGATTGTCATTTGGACCCTTTAGGGAATTTTTTTCCCTCTTCGGTTGATCAAATCCTGTGATTAGAAATGGCTCTTACCTCCTGCGTCCTGTTCTATAATCTATCCTGTGTGTTTGGCAAACATTATTTTCATGGGAGTCAGACGTTCTCCTCTTACTAGTAGAGCAGCGCTGGTAACTCACTGGCTGCTCTGGGTTATGATGACCAGGTGTTTTCAGAGGTTTTGAAAAACTACAGAAATGTAACCAGTCAGGAGCTGTAGCGCAGTCTTTCTACCTCCCTTGTCTCCTTTTACTGCAGTGGTTGATTCTATTCATTAATATTTTAGTCATTCTTTAGAATGTTACAATATTGTGGGAAGAATTGGAAAATAAGAGGCAATTTTACAACACAGAGATAATTTCAAACAAGGTGCCCAAAAGTACAGTGATAGAATGATCATTTCATTTAGAGTATATCTCCATATCCAGGGTGTGGCCTTCCAGGGCTTGAGGAATTGTACGCCCATGGTCTAACTCTCTGGGCCACACCATGATGTCCTGGAGCAGCTCTGGCTCCGCTTCTTCTAACTTCCTGGAACTCTAGGGCAGTTAAGCTTTCCTCTAGCTAATCTATAAACCAGCGTGCCGGTCTCCGCCTACATCACTCCTCACCTCCACACACCACCTAGCTCTCCAGGATTTCCTCTGAAATCTAAGGGAAAACATTTTTGCCTGTGACTCTGCTATTCTTTGTTTTTAAAACTGTGTATATGTGTGTGTGTGCATGTGTGTGCGAGCGCATGTAAGTCGGAGGATGGTTTGAGGGCACTGGTTCTTTCCTTCTTACCACGTGGTTTCTGGGTATGAAACTCAGATCATTGGACTTGGTGGCAAGCATCCCATACCCATACCCACTAGGCAATCTTGCCAGGCCAGACTCTTAGGCAAGACACTAAGGTCTGCCACTTGTACCCATTAGACTCAAAGCTAGACGGAGTTTTCACTGGCAGCAGCTTAAAAAAAATCATGAGGTCATCCAAGAAGGTTCCAGAGGCTCATAATTCCTTTCTTATCATAAGACTCTGCCCTTGGAAATACTGGAGACAAGTTTTCACTTTCGCATCTTTGACCGTGAGAGGGTGGAGACCTAGCTCTTTTTCTCGCTGAGCTCAAGTCTCACTGGCTGGATGCGATCAATCCATAATGTCTGTGCCACTTCCTGAACTCTGCTTTTCGATTTCCTGATGTCCTCCATCCAGTAACATGTCCTGTTAACATGTCAGGCTCATCCTAACATAGATACTCAGGGTATATTTTGATGTGAGGTGAAGCAGGTGCCTCTCGTCCAATCCCCAGTAGAGTCTCCCTTTCTATCTGAAAGCTCACAAGCATGTCACCATCCACATTCCCAGTTGTATTTGGCTCTTCTAAGACCACGTGATCACAAGTTACGATATGCTCAGAGCACTCCTGCTGTTCTCTAGAAGCAGCTCCAAAATCCCTGAAACTTTTTTGTGAGGCTTCTGAACCACATTGTTGTGATCACAGCAATAGAAAGGCAACCCCTGTATTCATTTTCTCTCAGTTTTCAGTTACTGTAACAAAATGCCAAGATAATCAATAAAAAAAAAAAAGATGTTTTAATTTTGTTTCTCAGTTTTGAGCCCAAGGTCAGTTGTCCCCAGTATGTTTAGAGACAATTAGGCCAATCATGGCAAGTGGCATTGGGTAGAACAAACATCACACTTCACGGCATTAGTGAAGTTAAAAAAAAAAAAAGAGGAAGGTGGAAGTCCCAACGTCATGCTCAAGGGTGTGCCCCACCCTTGTTAACTGACTTTAAAATTGCCCACAAGGCTCTACATTCTAAAGGCTCTACCATCTAATAGCCTTTGGAAAAGAAATTTAACACACACACCTTTGGAAGACCACAGCATTTCATGTTAAAGAGAAGCTCAGCAATGACAGTGGGGCTAACAAAAGACAAATCCATTCCAGAGTCAGAGGAGAGGCAACAGATAGGAAAGACAAGCCCCTCATCACCACTGAGGAGGTGAAACTAAACATGTGACCCCAAAAAAATGTATGTGAAGAGAAACAAATGTGTGTCTGAAATTGGGTAAAGATGGAAGCAACTGTGCTTGACAAATAAGAGGGACAAAATTCCAGAAAAGTTTGAGTCTGGGATACATTATAATTAAATTTTTGAAACGCAAAATGAAAGAGAACTGCCTGAGCATGCAGCAAAGAGAGAAAGTACTTCATGAGAAGAAATTCTCCATCTGTCACCAGAATGTTCCACAGACACATTTGGAGGGACAATACTGAAACGATGTCTGCAAAGTATTGAAGGAAAATTGCCGTCCTCAAACACTGCACTGTGAATACCTCATGAAGGGAGATTGGAGCAAGGAAGTAAACAAACAAACAAACAAACAAACTTGGGGCAGGAGAGATGGCTCACTGCTCTTCCAGAGGATCTGGATTCGGTTCCAGCATCCACATAACCACTCACAACCACCCATGACTCCAGTTCTAGTGCATCTGATACCCTCTTCTGGCCTTAGCAGGTACCAGGTATGTGCATGGTGCACAAATATGCATGCAGAAAACACCCATATACATAAAATAAAATAAACTTAATTTAAAAATAGGGACTAGGCGTGTGTGTAGCTCAGTTGGTTGAATGCTTGCCTAGTATGCGCGACGCCCTCGACCGCATCCCAGCACCGCACAGACCAGGTGCAGAAGCCGGTGGCTGTGAAGACACCGCTCGGGAGTTGAGGTGAGGGGATGGGAAGTTCAAATGCATCCTTGACTGCACAGGGAGTACAAGGCCATTCTGGTACCCATGAAACCCATGCCGAACAAACAAACAAAAGTAAAAAAGTAAAACCCGAAGGCCAAGGAAGACCAGAACTGGAATGATCTGGTCCAGTACTATCACACTGGAACTATCAAAAGATAGATGTAAGGACATTCAAATTAAATAGCTTCTTTGAGCAGACAACAATTGAGAAAGCAAGTCAGAAGCATCAGATCCCACGCAGTTCTGTATTTCAAAGGGGCTTTGCCTGGAGACAACTTTCATAAAACACAGAGACAATGCAAAAGAAATATATTTAATATAATTTAATTATATTTAATATAATTAATTTGATTAATTAAAGCAGATGGTCCTTGGTCTTTAAGGCTTGGGAATTAGCTGGTGCTCTCTGACTAGAACCTCAAAGAAGCATGCACTCTTGCGGCTTCTTAAAAATCAGGGACAGAACTTATTCTTATTAAATTAGTGCAGAGCACAGTAACAAGTGAAATAGAGAAGGATGAAGCTGTCAAAAAGTTGGGGAGTACATTCCTTGTCCAAAGTAATCACAAAACACTTAAAGACAATGCAGCTGGACTCACACGAAACCTATGGATTGATGGTCTCCATGAGGCACACAGAAGGTAAACAATCAAACATACTGAGCCCACGCACTGAGGGCATGAGCGACTGGTAGAATTCTGGAGACACAAGGAGAAGACACACTTCTTTGAACAGAGTGGGGGAAAGAAGGAACTTAAGAGAAAGAAACAGTAGTTCAGAAGTCCAGCCAGCTGGTTCCAGTGACCATCCTGCCCATGAGCCAGAAGCAGACTAGAGCAGAGCTCGTGAGGCTCTTTGCTTTGCAAGGCTCTGTGCTCCCACAGAATTCTGGACTGTGCTCAGGATTGGCGCCGCAGTCTGTCCAAAAAGGAAGTTGCTTTGTTGTCCTGAGGCCCCTTTTCACTGTTCTTTCCAGCATGACAGAACTCCCCCAAGGGGATACTTCTGGACAGCATAGACACAGTCTAACAAGGTTGGATATTTAGGGCCATTGGGTAATTTCTCCTCAGCTGTTGCAAAAGAGCACGAACTGTTATCAGTTTGCTCCTTGCACCGTCAACTATGCCCTTTGGGATTTGCCCTGTTGAGAACAGAGGCCAGGTGGACATCGGAGAGAAACAGTTGTAATAATTCTCTGTTAACACTTGTACTTGGTCCTCGAAACTAACCTTTTAAATAAGCACTAGCATTAGCTCTCATTTTACTGTTAGGAAAGAGTTTCAGAAAATCTAAAGGACATACTCAAATTCTCACTGGTAAAATGTGTCCTGGCTGTGACTGTCATCCAGACAGGGTGTGCCAAAAACCCTTATCTCGGTGGCTGTTAACCTTCCTAACGCTGCAAGCCTTTAATACAGTTCCTCCTATGGTGCTCACTCTCAACCGTAAAATTATCTTCATTGCTGCTTCACGACTGTAACTTCGTTACTGTTATGAGTCGTAATGTAAGCATCTGTGTGTCCAATGGTTTCAGGCAACCCCTGTGAAAAGGTCTTTCAACGACCCACATATTGAGAACCTCTGCCTTATACCCACCAGTATTCGTTTTCAAGCATTTTCTGAATACAGCATTTTCTAAACAACTGTAGAACTTGCCGTTCAGGCAGGGTAGAATTCTGCCTCCTGGTCTTCCTGTGAAACAGGTGAAAACCTGCTTTCGAAGCACACTGCAATCGTCCCTGCAGGCAGGCAGCGCGGCTTACTCGATGTCTCAGGCCTGTGACCAGGAAGCCGGAGGAAAGCTGTCCACCCCTACTAGCCAAGGTCTGCAGAGGACAGCTCATTGGCTGTCCAAAGTGCCCTGCCCAGAAGGCTGGTTAGAATAAGCCAGGGCTCTCTGGGAACTGTAGTTGCAGGTCCTCACTCGCCTGTGGGTATCTTAAAGGAATCTTTACTGCGACTGTGCTGAGGTTTGATTGTCTGTTGATTCTCAGGTCTCAGGTTGTGGTTCTTCCTGCCCGCTGTGAGCCTGAAATCAGATTCCTGAGTGATGTGGAAGGTCAGGGCATGGAAAAGGTCCAGGCAGAACAGACCAGTATTTGGAGAGGTAGGAGAGGCGGGTATGTTCCCGTTACCAGCTTATGATACTCTTATTATTCCAACTCTTCCTTTCCAATTCCGAACTCAGTCCTGTTTTCATCTTCACCCAAAGGCACCTGGTAATGTCAGAAATATTTCTAAGTATGTGGAAGCAGTGCCATTTTGCTCTACTTGTATTTTCAAATTACAGTATTCAACAATTCTTTTATTTGTTTATTTGTTTATTCACTTTACCTCCCGATTGTAGCCCCCTTCCTCCTCTGCTCTCATTCTGACCCTCCTTCTCTCTTGCCCTTATCTCCCCTCCCTACTCCTCAGAAAAGGAGAGCCCCTTCCAACAATCAGCCCAGCATGTCAAGTCCAGCAGGACCCAGCACGTGCTCTTCCCCTGTGGACTGGCAGGGCAGCCCCGCCAGGGGCAAGTGCTCAAAAAGCAGGCACCAGAGTCTATGTTCTTGATGTTTCTTAGACATTTCCATCGATGTTTTATATCTCTACATATGTATACACATATGACATGATATGATATTTATCTAAGGTATAAATGTAATATATATCTATAACATATTTATATGTAATTTATATCACATACCAAAAATTAGTTTTATTAAGGAATTTTTTTAAAGAAAATTTTGTATGGTTTTTCTTCTCACTTCTTTCCCATTTCCCTGTCCTCCCATACATTCTCCCAAGCCTGGTAGCTTCCCTTCCATCTTCAGAGGACAGAGAATCCTTTCCAACCCTTTTCAAACCTCGTTCCCTTCTCATGGTCTCCTATATAGTGTCATAATCTCTACCCATTCTCACAGCTCCGTATTTACATACCTATAGTCATTTAAAGTTAGGATCTGCATATGAAAGAAAGCATATGTGTTTTTGTTTTTGTTTTGTTTTTTTTTTTTTTTTAAATCTTTCCGAGGGTGAGTTACCTCACTTAATACAATACTGTCTGGTTCTACTAATTTCCCTGCAAATAATTGGAAATTCTGTTTTCTTTGTTAAATTCCACTGTATAAATAAGCCACATTTTCATTATCCATTCCTCTGTTGATGGACATCCAGGCTGATTCCTTTTCCTTGCTTTTGTGAATATAGCAGTAACAAATTGGGATGCGCAAAGGTCTCTGTTGTAAGATGCCGAGTCCTTCAGGCACATGCTTAAGACTGGTCATGCGGCAGGGCTGTGTGTAGTGTCTGCGGGAACGCCATACTGGTGTTCCATACATGGTGCAGCTAGTGGCTGCACTAGTGGCTGCAGCAGGGGACAGGGTTAGGATTATGAAAGAACTGATGCCACTGGCATCAAAGGTCCTGCGAAATTCTCTCCCTTTCCTAGTGCTTACCTTGGAACTCTCTTACTCTCTGTGAGCTATGCCTGCAGAACAGCACACCCAGGAATGAAGGGAGCTGCAGGACAGCCTCCCATTTCCTGTTTGCTCAGTTGGGAACACTCTGAGACTTACACTTTCTCATGTTGATTGGGACGGTTTTTGCCCCCTTTTTCAATAGACAGCTTACCTCCAACACCGCATCCTTTGTAGAGCTGTTGATAATGCCCTTGTCTCAGGAGCAACTCCTCCACTGCCTTAAATCTCCTTCAGAGTAAGTTGCTTACTGCAAATTGCTGTCTGAGGGTGTGATTTTTGTAAGGAGTAAATTTTAGGCTGTTTAACTTTCCAATGAAGGACATGGGTTGTGCTCCTCTTCTACTTTCTGCAAATACCAGTGATGTGCTCTTACACATCTCTAGAAGTAAGCAAGGGGACTTCTCTGGAGTAACTACATAGAGCTTAATCTACAGAAGGACAGACATAGCTATATATTAGTTCAGTCAGCAATGTTGTATCTCATGTCAAAGAATTTCCATCTAATACGTGCTTTTATTAACACTTGGTTTCAGAAATCTTCAAATATCTACTCCTATTATATATCTAACACAAGATAACAGTTATGTTCCACTTCTGTTTCTTTGAATGCTAGTGAGTCTGTGTACATTTTTACCTTACCAATGATCCTTCTCATTTCCATGATGTGTGTATGCATGTGTGTGTGTGTGTGTGTGTGTGTGTGTGTGTGTGTGTGTGTGTGCATGAGTGTGCATGTGTGTAAAGCTCAGGCTGGTCTTAAAATCAGCCCTTTGATCCTGTCCCACAATGTGTTGAGACTATAGGTATATGCCACTGTGCTCAGCTTTTATTTCCTTTCATGAACGAAGTGGTACAGTTTCACTACTTTCTGCAAATTGTTCCAGAAACTTCAATGATGTGGATTAATCACCAAGCACATATGGCCAGGAAACCCTTCGAAGTGCAGAGGCAGGGGAAGGCAGGGAGAAAATGCCCCCGAATGTGTGTTTGGGGTCTGGACCATTTTTGAGTAAGTACTCAAGATTATTAGATCAGCAGGTTTCAGCCAGCACTCCACTGGGCCTAGAATTATGATACTTGGAATTTGCCAGCTTAAATTGAGAATATCATATATTTATTTATTATTTTTATTAATCAATTCAATTTACCTCTCAGTCACAGATAAAAATTTATCCACCCTAAAAAATAAAAATAAATTTAAAATGCAATAATAACAAATTAGCATCCTAAGAGATCTGATTTCCATTCCAACGGGTGGTTAGAATTGTTCTTTTCTCCTCAAGGAAAATGCTGAATAAATAAATTCGTCTACTCCCAGAGAGCTGCCAGCAAATTGAGAAATGGCTGTCTCAAACTCTGGACAGAGAAGATAAATGCTCCTTATTTGCCAACCTTTGATCAAAAGTCCATGATTAAAACATTCCTGATGATTCTACTGCTATGACTCTTGAATGGTGTTGCTTGGTGATTTGTTAGAGGTTCAGCATAGGTAGTATTTTTAATATAATTTTTTATTTATTACAATTTATTCACTTTGTATCCCAGCTGTAGCCCCCACCCTCATCCCCTCCCAATCCTGCCCCTTTCCCTCTTTCATCTCCTCCCATGCCTCTTCCCCAGTCCACTGATAGAGGAGGTCCTTTTCACCTTCCATCTGGCCCTAGCCTATCAGGTCTCATCAGGGCTGGCTGCATTGTCTTCCTCTGTGGCCTGGTAAGGCTGCTCCTCCCCTCAGAGGGAGGTGATTAAAGAGCCAGCCACTGAGTTCATGTCAGAGACAGTCCCTGATCTCCTTACTAGAGTACCCATTTGGACACTGAGGTACCACAGGCTACATCTTTGCAGCAGTTCTACGTTATCTCCATGAATGGTCCTTGGTTGGAGTATCAGTCTCAGAAAAGACCCCTGGGCCCAGATTTTTTGGTTCTGTTGTTCTCCTTGTGGAGCTCCAGACCTTTCCAGGTCTTTTAATCTCCCTTTGTTCTTAACATTCCCTGCACTCTGCCCAAAGTTTGGCTATGAGTCTCTCCCTGATGTCCCTCAATTGAGGAAAGGATACAGAAAACTGTGGTACATTTACACAATGGAACACTACTCAGCAATTAAAAACAAGGATATCATGAAATTTGTAGGCAAATGATGGGAACTGAAAAAGATCATCCTGAGTGAGGTATTCCAGAAGCAGAAAGACACACATGGTATAAACTCACTTAAATGGATGTTAGACATACAATATAGGATAACCATACTAAAATCTGTACACCTAAAGAAGCTAATCAAGAAAGAGAACCCTGGGTAAGATGCTCAATCCTCATTCAGAAAGTCAAATGAGATAGACATGAGAAGAGGGAGAAAACAGGGAACAGAACAGGAGCCTGCCACAGAGGGTGTCTGAAGGACTCTATCCAGCAGGGTATTAAAGCATAGGTAATCTTAAGAATTCAAACTTTCATGCAACCAGTCTCTGGAGTGTGGGTTCTCCACACCTCTGTGTTCCCTCTCCAAGCCTCATTATGTTTTCATTGCAAAGATTACAATCTCCTTGGGTTTCTGTCAGTAGGAGATAAACACACCCACTCTGCTCTGAGACAGTGTGACTTAGATTGCCCTGAAGTCATGGCTGTCTTACATCAGCTTCCCAGATTCTGGGACTGTAGGTTTGCCGGACTGAAAAACCATTCTGAGGTACACCAGGTGTATTCAGCTCTCTGTTCTCCTCAAAGGAAATTTCAAGAAAATACCTGAAGGGAAAGAAATGAAATACTTACCTCCAGTTCTGCAACATTCCAAACCCATCCCAGGGGAAAAGGCTGGGAAATACTTCTGAACACCATAGCTGGGTTCTCTGAATAATTGTCATCAATCCTAGTGCTGTAGAATGCCCCTCGTCTACCCACACTTGGCACTACATCAGCATAGCTGTAACCTCAGCAGGATTCCTAGACATGAACTTAAGAACCTACAGCTGCCGTATTTACAACCAGCACGCCATAACCACTTCTAAAAAAAGACATGCTCACACACAGAAGAAAAACTAGTTTCAAGAAGGAAAGGAACCATCAGAGGCTACCTCAAATATGGTAGTGACGTTGGAGTTAACAGACAAGGCATTTAGAATAACTGTAGTTATAACTAGTGAGTTACATTGATGAGAGACACAGAGCAATATGACAGAGTAAGTCATCCGTATCCCTTGGAAGCATCGAGTTTCTCATATACTCGCATGAGCAACACAGAAGCTACTGAAACCAGCTGAGAAAATGAAGTACCTGGTTTTGACCTACCAGTATTAACAGGTGTCTTAAACAGGCAAGAAGGGGTATTGATGTCCCAGCCAGCCTCCCCAGTTGTAAGAAGCAGCACATAAAGGGAGAGGCCTCTGGCTTGGGTCAGTTAGGATGCTCTACCTTGCAGTTGCAATCCAGTATCAGGTTAGTTCTGGGCATAGCCCTAGAGTTCCTACCCTGAAATAATGTCTAATGGGGGTATCATGTGCTTTGCACTGGAACTAGGAAGAAATCCATAACCTTAGCTAATAAGATACTACTTCTTGGTATCAGACGTCTGTTACATCTCTGTTACTATAGCAGATGATTTAATTGGTTTAACATGTAACCACCTCTTTTTTATGTTTTTTTGTGATTTATTTTTATTAATTACAATTTATTCACTTTGTATCCCCCCGTAGATCCCTCCTCCCCTCTCGATCCCACCATCTTTCCCCCTTCTCCACTCATGCCCCTCCCCAAGCCCACTGATAGGGGAGATCCTCCTCTCCTTCCTTCTGATCCTAGTCTATCAGGTCTCACCAGGACTGGCTGCATTGTCTTCCTCTGTGTCCTGGTAAGGCTGCTCCCCCCTCAGAGGGAGGTGATCAAAGAGCAGGCTGATCAGTTCATGTAACCACCTCTTAATAACATGGCAGGAAAAGGGGCCAACCTTTTTTTTTCCTTTTATTTATTTATTTTTAATTTATTCACTTTACATCCTGAACACACCCCCTCCCTTCTTTCCTCCTGGTCCCATCCTCCCACTATCTTCTTCTTCCTCCTCCCCCTCCCCTTCTCCTCAAAAAAGTGTAGCCTCCCCTACCCTTTACCAACTGACTCTAGCACATCCAATTGCATCAAGACTAAGTGCATCCTCTTCCACTGTGGCCAGAACAGGCAGCCCAGCTAGGGGCAAGTGATCTCAAAGCAGGCAATAGGGCTCATGTCAGAGACAGGCCCTGTTCCACTTGTTAGGGGACCCACATGACCACCGTATGTTCTTTGGTTGGTGTTTCAGTCTTTGTAAGCCCCCCTGGGCCTATGTTAGTTGACTTCATTGGTCTTTTTGTGGAGTCCTTATCTCCTCTGGGTCTTTGTATCCTTCCCCCAACTCTTTCACAAGACTTCCCAAGTTCTGCCTGATATATGGCTGTGGGTCTTAGCATCTGTTTCCATCTGCTGCTGGGTGGGACCCCTCAGGGAACAGTTATGCTAGGCTCTGATCTGCAAGCACAGCAGAGTATCATTAATAGAGTCAGGGGTCAACTCTCTCCTACGGGGTGGGTCTCAGGTTGGGGAAGTTATTAGTTGGTCATTCTCTCAATCTCTGCTCCATCTTTATCCCTGCATTTCTTGTAGGTACGGTAATTTTGGACCGAAGGTTTTGTGGGTGAGTTGTTGGACCTCTTCCTCCACTGGAAATCCTGCCTGTCTATGAAGTGGCCCCTTCAGTCTCCATGTCCCCCGCTGCTAGGAGTCACCCTCATATCCTCCCAGGGACCTATCCTGTCTAATGTCTCCATCTTGTCCCAGAGATACATCACCTTGATTTTCCTTCTCTCTCCCAGCCCTCTCATATGTCACGCCCTGGTCTCCCCACATCTGATCCCTACCCTCATTCTCCTCCCCACACCCTCTCTCACTGAGTTTCCAGAGTTTGTCCATTTCTGACATTTCCCCTTCTGAGTGGGCTTTAGCACCTTCCCTTGGACCCTCCTTGTTTCTTAGCTTCTTTGGGTCTGTGGCTTATAGTATGATTAATTTACACTATACGGCTAATAACCACTTATAAATGACTACATGCCAAGTGTGTCTTTCTGGGTCTGGATCATCTTTTCTAGTTCCATACATTTGCCTGCAAATTTCATGATTTCCTTGTTTTTAATAGGTGACTAGTATTTCATTGTGTAAATGTACCACATTTTCTTTATCCATTCTTCAGCTGAGGAACATCTGTGTCTTTTAACTATTAAAGGCCAAACCTTTTCAAATTTTTACTTTTTTATTATTCATTTTACATCCTGACCCTATGCCTCTTCCTCATCTCCTCCCAGTCTCACCTTCCTCCCTCTTTCTCCCATCCTCATTCGTCTCTTAATCCTTAAAAAGGGAGAGCCTTCTTCCCTTCCTAACTGACCCTAGACAATCAAGTCTCTTTAGAATTGCTTGCATCTTCTTCCTGTGTGGCATGACAAGACTGCCTAGCCTGGGGAAAGTGACTGAGAGACAGCACTTGGTCCCTTTACTAAGTAGCCCACATGGAGACTGAGCTGCCTATTGGTTATATCAGAGAAGGAGACCTCAGTCCTCTCCGTGCATGGTCCTTGGTTGGTGCAACAGTCTCTGCAGACTACCCTGGGCCCAGATTTGTTGGCATTGTTGATCTCCTTGTGGAGTTCCTGTCCTCTTTGGGTCCTTCCATCTCCCCACTCCTCCCGGCACTCTGCTCAAAGTTTGTCTGTGAGTCTCAGCATCTGCTTCAATCCTCTTTATGTGGAGATTTTTGGAGGACATCTATGAAAGGCTTCTGTCCTGTTCCTGTTCTTCAACCACATCTATTCAATTTAAGGCCCAGACCTTTAGCACACAAGTCAAGGGGTTATTCCAGATCTGACAAGAAACATTAGGGAACTATGATGTCACTTACCAGACAAAAGGTACCAGAAGCCAACCACAAATCAATGGTTAAGTGCAATATATTGGTCAGATAATGCAAAGTAGCTGCTTTTATGACAGTCAAATAATTTCAAGAAAAAAAAAGAGAAATGACGCATTAACTAACTAGATAAACTCAATAGTGAGACAAACAGTTTTTAAAACCAAACCAATTTTTATATGCTATAGCTGAAATATGTTGTAGCTGAAATGTACAATAAACAAAATAACTGTGTAGAAGCCACCAATATAAAATTAATCACACAGTGGAAAAGTGTCAGTGATCTCAAAGGCTGATTATTTACAAAGAACCAGAAGAAGTAAAAGAAGAAGAAGAAGAAGAAGAAGAAGAAGAAGAAGAAGAAGAAGAAGAAGAAGAAGAAGAAGAAAAAGAAGAAGAAGAAGAAGAAGAAGAAGAAGAAGAAGAAGAAGAAGAAGAAGAAGAAGAAAGGAA